GATCTCTTCGGGAACTGGACCCAAGTGAGCGACGGGCGCCAACGGTGCTTGCACTCAAATCGAGGGCGCTGGTCCACTCAGACCCGGTCGGCCGAGGGGCGGGCGACCTTCGGTTTTCCAGGCGGCGGGCCTTTGGCGCTTGACGGTGTCTGCGACGCGGGGCCGCCTTCTGTTTTTGAGTGCCTGCGGCCGCCCTGCGCGCTGGCTTCTCAGGGCGCCCGTCGCCTCCTAGCCTGGTGCTCGCGCGCCGGGCGCTGCTCGGTCGGCTTCGCCGCTTCTCGCCCGGCGGCGCCGCGCCCGCGGCCGCAGAGATGGAGCGGTAGCTGCGGCGCCGCGGGGCAGAGCCGCAGGCGAGCGGCTGCATCGCCGCGCGCGGCGGCTGCGGTGCGCGTGTGGAGGCGCGATTTTTCCTCGAGGTCCAGCGGTCCGCGCGCCCGCGGTCGGAAGGGCCGCGCTGGCATCCTGGCCCGCTGCTCCAGCTGCGCGCGGAGGGACTGCAGAAGAGCTGCCGCCGCGACTGGCGGCCTCTGCGAAGCCCGGTGAAGAAGCGCCTCCGCCGCTTCCGAATTCTTCTGCTCACAGAGACTGGGAAGGCCCTGGCGCTTTTCCGCTTGGCCGCCCTTGGGCGCGCGATCGATGCTGACCCTGTTGCTGCGCCTGATGCTGCGCCTTGCTCCTCTTGGGAAGGCCTTGCGACAGGTGCCGCCGACCCTGTATGCTAGGAGAAGACGCAGATGAAACAGGTGGGCAAGGAGGAGGAGGACGAGGATGAGAGGGAAGATGAGGAGGATGAGGAGGATGAGGAGGAGAAGGAGGAGGAGGATGAGGAGGAGGATGAGGAGGACAAACATGTAGATTCTGGGTCGGAGAGGGGCGGGGTCACAACCCATGGGATCCCCCCAGGACCGCCCCCCAGGACTCCCTGGCGACCTCCCCGCGGGCCCCGCCCTCCAAGAGGGGGGGGGTCACAATCTGGGACCCCCCCCCAGCGACCTCCCTCCGGCCCCCCCTTTTGGCGCACCACCCCCTCCCGGAGGGGAATGGATCAAAGGGAAGGGGCTTCCCTTGTCGTTCGGGTCGGGGGGGGGCACGAACCCCAGAGCCCCTCCCACTGCCTTCCCTCCACCTCCCTGCAATGATTGTTGGCCTTTCCTGCTCCTCCTCTCGCGCTGCGTCGCAGGAGCGTCCAAGCGTCGGATGATGTTAGCTCGTGTCGCGCGCGGCGTTGTTTGATTGCGCGTCGTCTATCCGGCCACATGTCGCTCCACTTTTCCGCGATCTCTACCGGCCCTCTCGTCCCCTGCGCATTTGGAATTCTGTGCAGTAGACGTCAGGTCTATGCCGCACAGCATGCCCCAAACAGGGGTGTTTGACTGCACCACCGCGGCAACGCTACACATGGGCGCAGCATAGACCTATCTCGAACCAGGGAAAGCGGCATGAACATAAACGTTCGGAGCTCCGCGCGGATTTCTCGGATCTGTGTTGGATTCCCCTGGCGGCGCTCTTGGCGCGCTCCGCGCGACAGGGAGGGGGTTTAGCGCCGGTTCAAGGCTCCGAAGGTTTACGCGCGCATGCCTTTCGTCTTCTTCTTCTTCTTCTTCTTCTTCTTCTTCTTATTCTTCCCCTTCCTCTTCCTCTTCGTCCTCCTCTTCTTCTTCTTCTCCCAATATCCCCCCTCATCCCTTCCACTTCCCCTGCCTCCTGTCCCCCGCCCCCTTCCCCCGCCGCCTCCGTGGCCCCCGCCTCCACTCCCCCCCTGTTTTCTGAGCCCAGCCAGAGGCTGCACAGGGACGTCGGCGCGGAGCTGCGGCGCCTCGTGGGCGCCGACACCCTGGTAGAGGACGGCAAGCGGATGATGATGACGATGATGATGATGATGATGATGATGATGATGATGATGATGATGATGATGATGATGATGATGATGATGATGATGATGATGATGATGATGATGATGATTGGAGAATGAGGTCTCTGAATGTTACTTAATGTGAAGTGAGTGCGATCTCCCCCTTCGTAGTTTTTTCTGGGCTCAAGACCCAGGCATCATGTTTTTCTTCTAACGAAGTCTTTGGGGCTTGGGCCCCCCAGCGTAGCACGAACATGGTTCTTTCTCCAGCACCCTCGGAGCCCGAGGGGCCTGTATCGCCGCCAGGAGGCCCAAGCAGATGGTGGGCGCTCGGCTGGGAAGGAGCGACAGTGCTGACGATCTGCTTCCTCGCCGATGGCGCCCTGAAGGCAGACTCAGGCCGCGTTGCCGTCCAACGCCTAGGGCTGGCCGTCCTCGCGGGCTCAGCGGGGAGCGGCCTCACGCTGTGGCGCGCGGGCCTGCTGGGGAGGTGCTGCCGTCGCCAGGACGACAGCGACGAGCTGGAGCGCCTGCGGAGCCAGCTGGCCGCGCTGCAGCTCGCCAAGCTCGAGCCGCCTGCCGCCCCGTCAGAAGGTGGCGAGCCGAGCGGCCCCGCAGCTGGCGCGGGCGGGGGCGGGGCTCTCGGCCTGCCGCCCCCGCCGCCTTTCGCTGTCGGGCCACCGCCCGCCGCCGCGCCAGGGCTGTGGGCGGCGCCTCCCTCAGGGGCGCCAGATGGCGGGTTCGCCGCCTTCCACGCCTTCGGCACCGGAGGATGTCTCGGAGGACCGATCTCATGCAGCCAGGGCGGGGCCCCCGCCGGTGTAGGCCCAGCCGCCGCGAGCGGCGTGGGCGTGGCAGGCGGACCCGCAGCTGGCACCGACGGCGCCGCCGACGCAGGAGGTCAGCCGGCAGGCGCGGAGGCGGCCGCGAGCCCGCCCCCATCGGGGGCCAGCGCCTGCGCCGCCGCCATCAGGACAGAGCTCGAGAGCTACGCGGCCACGAGCTCGACCGACCCGTGGTGGGGCGCGCGCTTCTGGCAGAGGGTCCACCAGCGCGAGCAGGCGGGCTTGCTGGACGCGGGCGTGAAGGCGGCGCTGGTGGCGCGGGGCTACTCGGGAGAGGCGTCGATCGGGGCGCCAGACGTGGACAGCGTGAGGGCGGTGCTGAAGGGCTTCGAGACGGCGCCCGTGCAGTTCTCGGGCGGCTTCGTGGGCGGCGGGCTTGCGGCCTCAACTTCCGTTGAGGGCTGGGCCCATAGCCTGCCGCCCGACTTCAGACGAGCAGGTGGCGAGATCTATCGGAACATCAGAGCGTCAGGGTCTACGTCGGTGAGGAACTGGCTGACTCAGCAGCACGTGGGCTCCAAGCGAGGCGAAGAGTGGCAGTCCCTGTGGGCGACGGCCACCGCGGTGGACTTCGCGCTGGGCGACTGCAAGGACGACGTGAGCCTCTACGCGAAGCTGAACTCAGACGATCAGGTGGAGGTCGCCCTGCGCCATCTCTCGGCCTACGTGTACGAGAGCCGCACGCGTGACAGCGTGGGCGCGGCGCGTCTCCGCGCCGTGGTGGCGCCTGGCTCGGCGGTGGACATCGCGCCGAACTGGCTGATCTCCGAGGCGGCGACGCGCTCGAAGATGGAGCACCAGCGCGAGGAGCGCATCAGCTCGGAGATCAGGCGCCGCCAGCACACCAACCAGGGTGACTTCAAGGGCTCGAAGGGCACGCCCAAAGGGGGGGCTCCCCCCAAGGGCAAGTCGAGCCATTGACCCCCGCCGAGGACGGAGGTGCCTTGGCAGTCGGGGGCACCTCCGAGGCGAATTACTTTACGGTTGCGAGGTGGACGAGGAGACGGAGGCGTGTGGGTGCCAGTACATCGGGATGGAGCTGCAGGCCAGAGTGGGCCGCGGACGTGCTCACGACCACCGCCCTCTCGCCCGACGATAGCGAGGACCAGCCCCTTTCCCGACCTCGCCGACATTCACCTCCTACTTCAGGAGCGACGTGGCCTCCTCCCGTTGCCCCTGCTGCCCTGGCCGAGTACACGACCAGCGTCGTCGTCGGGCAGGCTACGACAGAGGGAGGCGAAGCGGCGAGAGATACACAAGCTGGCCAACCAGGTGTTGGAGACCTGGAACCGAGTTCACGCTGGAGGCTTGAAGCAGCAGGCGAGCCGCAACGTCGAGCGTCGAGATCTTAGAGCAAGCGACGGAGCGGCAGGACAAGCTCAACTCAGGGCGATCAGGTTGGCCCAGGAGTTTGTCAGCGCTCGCCGGCCAGGAATGGTGACAGGCGTGCGAGCTATCAGCGAGCTGCTCAAACTCAGCGAGGTCACCTACTCGGGGACCTGCAAGCGACAGGTGCACGCCGCGTTCATTGCGGACCGCATCGACGAGGTGACCACCGAGCGGACCGTGGACATGCTGGAGGCCCTGCCGATTGCGGAGTCCCAGTTCTACGCTGAGGAGAGCAACGTGGTGGATTGGAGCGGCAAGAGCGAGCAGCTCCTGCGGGAGCTGGAGCAGCACTACGGCTTCTTGGGAGGCTCGCAGGAGGAGTGGGCCAAGTACTTATGCCGCCAGGACCTCCCGCCACGTCTATGGACCTACATGCGCCGCGCCGACATTAAGGCCATCAGCGGCGTCAGCGCGGTCCCCAAGAAAGATCCCGAGAAGCTCAGAAAGTTGATCATGGCGGTCCCTGCGAACTACATTTGGTGTGATGTCCGTGCTCGAGAAGACCATGGTCTGGGCGGTGGAGGCGCTCTCTCTCAGATACGCGTGATGGAAGGCTCCCTGCACCTCGCCCGCTGCGATGTGTCGAATGCCTTCTCGTCGGTCGTGACCCCGTCGTGGTGGTGGCCCTGGATGGCTACTCCCGCGCTGCCCGCCGCCTTGGTGCGCAGCCAGCTCCCGCCGGAGCTAAAGGGCGTCCCCGACTACGAGATGGTGTGCCCGTGCTACCAGCGGCTGCCGATGGGGAGCTCCCACTCTGTGCACATCCTGATGTCGATCAACGTGCGGAGCTTGGGCGAGACGCTGAATTTCAACAGGAAGCTGGCCGAGTCCGAGCTGGCCAACTTCACGAAGCACGCGGACTTGACCGACGAGGTGGAGGTACACGACCAGGAGTGGGTTGACCTGCAGCGCAACCGGCGCAGCGCGGACCGACTCGAGTCGGGCTTCACGGTCGCAGAGTTCTGCGAGAAGGTGCGCTACTTTAAGAGGTCAGCTCAGAGGATCATGGTAGTGGTCCACATCTTTGCAGGAGGCCGCCGCCTGGGTGACATCCAGGACCATGTTGAGACTTTTTGCCGGCAGCATGACATGCCCGTCTTCTTCTTTGGCGTCGACCTGGCTTTCGACGCGCGCTGGGACTTCAGCGACCCGCACGCCGTCGCGGCGCTCCTCGAGCTGGCGAACGAGGGCCTGCTGGATGTGGTGCTGGGAGGGCCGCCCTGTGCCACCTGGAGCAGGCTGAGGCACCGGCCAGGCGGCCCCCCGCCGCTGCGACGACGTGACCACTTGCTGGGGCTGCCGTCGCTGAAGGATCATGAGAGGATGAGAGTAGTAGAGGCAAACGCTCTGCTTTTCAACTTCTTAGGTCTGTGCGAGGCTGTGCTGTTACAGGGCGGGGCTTTTTTGTTAGAGCATCCCGCGGACCCCGGCGAGTTCCCCTTCCCTTCTGTTTTCGCCCTCGAAGGGATGAAAGGTTAAGCTGAACGTGCTCAGGCCCAGGTTGTAACTCTAGATCAGTGCATGTACGGGGGGGGCGGCCCAAAAACCTACAGGTCTCCTTTCCAACCTCCTTGGGCTATCCGAAGGTTTGCTTCGCTGTGACGGTAACCATACTCACGACAATGTCCGAGGAAAGAATGATCAGGGAGTATTTGCGTCACGACGTCTTCAGAGTTATCCCTCAGGTCTGTGCCGTTCCTTCGGTTGGTGTATTGCCCGTACTATTGCACTGATGCGTTTGGAATCAGGTGGGCCTGGGGGTTGGAGACGCCCTTCTACAGCACGGCCGCGCACAAGCCAATGGAGTCGAGAAGCAGAGGGTCCGTTAGGAGGGAAGTTTGTCATGCTGAACGAGAAGTACTCCAAGAAGGGTCAGTACAGTTTGGGGCCCGAGGACGTGGCGGCCTACGTGCACGTCGACGACGGCTTGGTGTTGACTGTGGGCCCCGCTTCAGAGGAGCCGAAGTGCGACGAGCTGATGCAGCAGGTCGCGGACGGCTGGGAGCGCGAGGGGTTTCTGGTCACCGAGCGGGTCGCGGCCGAGGACAACTTGAAGGCCGTGGGGTACCGCGTGCAGAGGTCGCCGCCCGCGCTGCGTTTCGACCCGCACAAGGGCTGGCTGCTGCGCGAGAGCTGCCTGTGGTTGCTGGAGGTCGACTGGATCGACGTGGAGCTACTGAGAGCGGTCGTAGGCGCCTGGCTGTGGGGCGCCCTCTTGAAGCGGGAGCTGATGTCCGTCCCGCACGCGATCTTCAGCATGCTCGAGAAGCACGCCAACCAGGTCATCAGTTGGTGGCCCTCGGCTCGGCGAGAGCTGGAGGCCATGGCACACCTGGTGCTGTCGATGGAATGCGTGCTCAACGCTCCGGTGGCGCCGCTGGTCTTTTCTTCCGACGCCGAGGGCTCGAACGAGGACGACTTCGGCGGCTACGGGATCGTCGGGACCGCCGCGAGCATCATCGAGCTAGAGGACCTGGTGGCAGCTGGCACGCGGCCGGGCCACACTGTTGCGCGGCTCGACGGCAGGGTCGGCCACCTCAACAGGGCGGACAAGGAGATAGCGAATCGCATCGCCGTCTCCAAGGTGCCGCGGAGCCTGCTTGAGAAGCCTGAATGCGAATGGACTGAGCTGGGATCAGGGCTGACCACATAACGCTGGGCGAAGGCAGGGCAGCGCTCAAGCTGCTCGCAGCGCTCAGCCGCGCCCCAGGGGCGCGCGGCTACTTGGTCGCCAACCTGGAGGACAACGGGGGCCTC